TTTGAATAAGACCATCAGCAGGTTTTGAATATTGAAATCAACAGGTTTTGGATAAGGCCATCAGCAGGTTTTGAATAAGGCCATTAACATATTTTGGATAAGACCATCAACAGGTTATGAATAAGGCCATCAGCAGGTTTTGAATATCGGAATCAACAGGTTTTGGATAAGGCCATCAGCAGGTTTTGAATAAGGCCATCAACATATTTTGGATAAGCCAATCAGCAGGTTTTGAATAAGGCCATCAGCAGGTTTTGGATAAGGCCATCAGCAGGTTTTGGATAAGGCTATCAGCAGGTTGTGGATAAGGTCATCAGCAGGTTTTGAATATCAGAATCAACAGGTTTTGGATAAGGCCATCAGCAGGTTTTGAATAAGGCTATCAGCATGTTTTGGATAAGGCCATCAGCAGGTTTTGAATAAGGCTATCAGCAGGTTTTGAAAAAGGCCAAACCAGCTATGTGATGTGATTATGATTTTTAACGTTTCTATAACAATTTTTCAGTTATATCACTAAGATGTCTGCAGTGTGGCAATTTATAGTGATGTCTAGCACTGGGGCATCATGCTGCAGACATGTAGCATGAGCATGATGTCCCACCCAGTCACATTATCCTGACACCAGGCCGTCCAGCCCTAACACTAACCTCTTAATGCTGAGAGTCAAGCGAGGCAGCTGTTAGTACCATTTTTGTAAGTCTTTGGTATGATTTGGCTGGGAATCGAACCCACGACATCCCACATCCAAGGAGGATGCTCTAGCCATGAGGCCACTGGAGCAGTAAAAAAAACCAGCTGAGTTAGATACACAAATCCATTTTGGGATTATTTTTTAACCATGATTGGGGGGGTGAATGCTAGGGTCAGCAATGAGAAATTGGGATGGTCCGCTGATTGGAAACACTTGTATATTTTTTGCTGTATTGGCATTAAAACAGTAGGAAGTAGGGATAACAGGATACAACTCTTACAAATATATATATATATATATATATATATATATATATATATATACACACATACATGTAATTCATGCTACACTGTGTAAGAAGCAATATACATGTACTTATGAACTAGATAGTCTTTTTATTGTTAGAAGGTTTCACAATTGTAAAGTGGTGCTATTTTATGTGTGGACATATTGGTTGTATTTTTAGCATGCAGATTACAGACAGACATAGACTTATTGCATCATTATATATTATTCTTATCTTTGACAAGATAAAATAAATACTTTGAAAAACAGACCATGTGTTAAGTGTCAGTGATTTTTAGTCAACCTTTTGACCAGTTCATGCTGCTCTATTTGATCAGGTGCAGGTTTCATGTTCTTCAACATGCCATTTTTTGACTGATATTTATTGTGTACCATGGGGATTCAGATTGCTCAGATAATTAGGGCCCTCTATCAAGCTCTATAATAATCACCTTCCATCTGTCCATCAATTCATCTGTTCGTCAGTGACCTTCATTCCACCTTCCATCTGTCTATCATTCCACCATTCATCTGTTCATCATTTCACTTGTTCATCTGTCCATCATTCCACACTCCATCAGTCTGTCATTTTGCCTGCTCATATGTGAACCATTCCACATATTTATATGTCCCTCATTCCTCCTTCTATTTGTGATCATTCCACCTGTTCATCTGTCCATCATTCCACCTTTCACCTGTCCATCATTCTGCCTGTTGGTCTGTCCATCATTGTATCTGTTCATCTGTCAATCACCCCAACAGTTCATCTGTACATCATTCTATCTATTCATCTGTCAGTAACCCCAACAATTCATCTGTCCATCATTCCATCTGTTCATCTGTCAATCATCCCAACAGTTCATCTGTCCAACATTCCATCTGTTCATCTATCAATCATCCCACCAGTTCATCTCTCCATCACTCCACCTGTTCAACTGTCCATCAACCATTCTGGTTGACTAGTGGTTTAGGTCCACCTCTGATGCAGGAGGTTGCAGGTTAGAATCCCCTCTGAGTCATACCAAAAGCTTATAAAATGGTACTCACATCTGCCTTGCTAGGTTATTAGCATTAAGAGGTTAGTGTTAGGAATGGTAAGCCTGGTGTCAGGATAACTTGACTGAGTGGGACTTAACACTACATGTCTGTGGCATGATGCCCCAATGCTAGACATCACTATAAACTGCCACACTGAAGATATCATTATCCTATGACTGAACATTTTTAAAGCTACATTAAAAATCCAAATCACACCCACCCACATACATTATTCTATCTTTTGATCTGTCCATGGTTCCATTCTCATTTCTTGTAACAATCAAAGCTCTGAAACACTTTGTTCTTGGTTGGGTGCCACTTTGTAAGTAAATCTTCTGTGACATGTAGGTGTACATTTTAAAGGTTTTGTCTGTTCAGGTCTGTTCAGGTCAAACTTTGACTGAGCTTTATTGCCCTTTGTGCATTGTCCTAGGGTTGTATTTCAAGTGATTAAGTTCATCATGTAAATGAGTCCTGAATATTATGTGTCAGGATTAATTGATATGTATTGGTATTGGGATAATTGATTTCACCATATATAGCACAATTGGACTACTGTCACAAAAGACACAGAATAGTGACAGTACATCAGTGTAGTCACACTTGAAGGTTGGTTTAGATATACATGATTGAGTGCAAGCACTTGAAGATGGTGTAATGTAACATACATGAGTGTGAATATATATCAGTGTAGTAGTACTTGAAGATGGAAGTTAATGACACATATGAGTGTGACAGTAAATCAGTGTAGTAGTACATGAAGATGACAGTTGATGACATACATGAGTGTGACAATAAATCAGTGTCATGTACTTGAAGATGACAAGATCACAGTTGATGACAGTTGATGACACATGTTACAACACTCTTACAACACAAAACTGATCTATAATCTCAAAAACATACCCTTCACTTGTAACAGAAAGACTATAATCTTAAACATACACCACACAACACAAAACAGACTGTAATTATCAACATACCACACACAAAACACCAAAACAGATTGTAATCTTTAACATACCACACACAGAACACCAAAACAGACTGTAATCATCAACATACCACACACAGAACACCAAAACAGGCTGTAATCTTCAATATACCACACATAGAACACCAAAACAGACTGTAATCTTCAATATACCACACATAGAACACCAAAACAGACTATAATCTTCAACATACCACACACAGAATACCAAAACAGACTGTAATCTTCAACATACCACACACAGAACACCAAAACAGACTGTAATCTTCAACATACCACACACAGAACACCAAAACAGACTGTAATCTTCAATATACCACAAACAGAACACCAAAACAGACTGTAATCTTTAACATACCACAAACAGAACACCAAAACAGACTGTAATCTTCAACATACCACAAACAGAATACCAAAACAGACTGTAATCTTTAACATATCACAAACAGAACACCAAAACAGACTGTAATCTTCAACAATATTACCACACACAAAACACCAAAACAGACTATAATTTTAAACATATCCCACAAACAAGCAAAAAAAAGTGTTAATGTCATAAAACCAGCAGAGTGACATATGCACTAAATGTTATAACAAACCTTACCATACACTTACAATACCAGCAGAGTTTACACAGACACTAAATGGAATGTCAAACCTTACCATACACTTACAACACCAGTAGAGTGACCTAGACACTAAGAAATGAAATGACAAACAAGGCATGGGTGGAATTTATTCTAATATGCATTGTTTTGCTGGTTATTGTATGATATTCATTATTGTATTATTTTATCACGATATATTTATTGTGATATGTATGATGTTATGTTCCACTAAATGGTCGTCTTATGATTGTTTTATTATGACCATGATGTTCTACTGAATAGTAATTTTCTGCTATTGTTATTAAGACCAAAATTAGCATGTTATGCTAACTGGATGGCATCTTCTACTTATTGTAATTTTCCAATCATAAGTTCTTATTTTTAAGGCTTAAAAAACAAAATGTAGCCACCATGGGGCCATTTGCAATTCACTGACCTCTTCTAACTCTAGTTTCACCCTAATATTTCTTAGTTTCTTATTTGATTTAACTCTTTGTTGAATTGCTGAATAAGCTTTATGTACCAAGAGGGCAATAAAAGCTCAACATTTTTGCCCTGGAATGAGACACCTGATGATGTCCCAGTTGAATGTTTTTAAATGAATGCAGTTTATCAGAAATTGCTTTGTATCCTTCTTGGTCTTCATTTTGAGTGCATTGTGTGTGGCTACTTAAATTTCCTAGTCACTGTGCTGAAATACTTTTAAACTCTATTTAGACATACCACATCAAAAACAAACATTACATAATGCAGAATGTTTTGTTTTTTTTAAATCTGTATATTTGACTGAATACATGAATTTTATCTCCAGGAAACCACATCTTACATGCAGTGAGTGCTTTTTAAAGTGACATTTACACAACAAGGTCTGTTTATAGGGAAGCCAGAGTGAGCAAAAATATTGAAATAATTCAATAATTTTGTATAATTAATTTAACATGAAATGAATACATGATACTTTTATCACTTGATAAGGTAACCCTTCTATCCCTAATTCACCCCTCCTTTTTTTCAAACAAACTGTCACAGTGTTTTTGCTTATGTTATATAGCAGTAGTAGATAAGTGGGCATTTTAGACAGAATGTGTTTGTGTTTGTGTGTGTGTATGTGTGAGCATGTGTGTGCATGTGTGTGTGTGTGTGTTTGATTATGATTTTGAATGTAGCTTTAACAATTTTTTAGTCATAGCATTACAATGTCTGCAGTATGGCAGTTTATAGTGATGTCTAGCACTAGGTCATCACGATGCAGACATGTAGCATGAAATCCCACCCAGTCACATTATCCTGACACCAGGCTGATCATTCCTAGCACTAACCTCTTACTGCTGAGTGCCAAGCGAAGCAGCTGTTAGTACCATTTTAGTAAGTCTTTTGGTATTACTCGACCAGAAATCAAACTCACAACCTCCCGCATCCAAGGCAGACACTCTAACCACTAAGCCACTAAAGTGGTTAGACCAGAATATGTCATATTATGCTAAGTCACAGAGCAGCAACATATTTCTTAAAACCAAGGCATCATTGGAGGCTGGGTCGCTGCAAACCATAGGCAGTCATGACAGCATATCAGCAGACGTATGGCTATCATGAATACACCAATTAGAGATGCAAGGGGAATATGGAATTCTATCACGAGATTAAGCAAGTGTAGGTGGAATGTTAATCAAGTGCTATAATTTTGTTCAAGCAAGATAACCCAGTGTTGTTTGTTGCTTCCATTTAATGGGGCATCTTACACACGGGATACATATCTCTGCACTCCACATCAGAAGATTCGTTGGAGGCATTTTTCAAAGAGATGAACAAATTTATGTATCTAGGGAAAAAATCTTATTAAGGTTAATGGCTTAAAAGGACACAAAAGCCACAGAGAAGGATAACAAAGACCAGCCACATCAGGTAACAAATAATCAACAACACACCTGTAAGAGATGCAGATTCCTGTGATATATGATTATAAACCATGTGTTGTAAAGAAACTCATATATATGCCTGGATGCCCTTATAAGTCACTGTGTGAAGAAATGTTTTGACACTTACTATGCCATTTATGCTCAGAGATACAGAAAGAGTATTTGATCTGTTGAAAGTGCAGAGCAGGCACTTTTATTTTACATTCATATGCAACAGATGTAGAGATGGTCACCAGGCTGACAAGCTAAGATGCATAGAGCTAAAGAAAAGGCCTGCCAAAAGGCTTTTCTGACCTAAAGGCCTGCCACAAGATTTCTCTGAGCTAAAGGCCTGCCACAAGGCTTCTCAGAGCTAAAGGCCTGCCAAATATATTGAAAGGTCCTTAGCAAGTGTACATCCAAGTTTCATCCTGCACGCAATGCAAACTATTGCTGTATTATAGTGGCACTGAACCAAGAGCATCATGTCTGACTGACCTAAGTTAGGGTTGCCTATTTAAAGGAAAGCCAAGTAAAATAACATATATACATCTGCCCTAAATGGCATGCCAGTACAACAACCACCATGAGCAATTCTGCATTTAGATACTGATAGTACACAATAAGATAGCATTGCCTACCCTATCCAAAGAGGGGCAGATCATTGAGACTGAATATGATAGCATGCTGGAGGAAGTACTGACTGCCCACTTGGATCTCTGAAAGAGCTGTCATTGATGTAGAATTACACATTGCTATTGGATGGGTCAGGCCATTCTTTCTGCTCTTGATCCTGCCAATGCCAATCATCCCAGCAATTACAGTAAGTATCTGGTATGCTACTGTCTGACAAGTTTAAGTTTTTGATGAAGGTCTCTATTGTAACCAAGTTTGGGAACCTCAACCCCACCATTGCCATCAATATTGTTGGCTGAGACCATGTACTTTATTGCATATGCATATCAAGTAAAACTATGGATGAAACTGTCAACCTATCACACAAAAACAAACAACACTATATATGGACCTTTCCTGGATGGTGTATAGCAGAAGTCAGAATGCATGAATGCTGGCAATGTCTTATTTTTACCTGATTTTCAGACCCATGATAAATATTCACAATACAGGTTCAAAACATTAGAGGACCTTCTTACCAGAGCTAGGAATAAGATTTATTTTGATCAACTCTTTCACCTTACATTATCTATGCAGATATTGAGACTCTTAATGCACCTGTGAAAAGGGAAGAGATTGACCACATTTACAGCAATATCTGTAAGACCTCCAGCCAGCCTCAGAGTGGCTTCTGCTTGATCATTAACCAATGTACATTAACCAATGTAATGGTACATTAGAGGCATCTGTATAGAGAGGAACTGTGGTCCAGATGATTATAAGCTTGGAGAAAGAAATGGTATACATCTGAGAAAAATCCTTTGGTGATGACACACTGCAGCATTTGAGGTCACAGCTGCCTTGTTGGTACTAACTGGGCAAGATGTCACTGCCACATCACTATATGAAGTATCTCAGGTCTCTTTTTAACTTAAAAAAACTGATAGTGGTGAATTTTATGGCCCATATCAAGTGAAATTTATGTGTGACTTAGCACCAGCTAATCAGATATCTTAAATTTACAGTTCACTTTAGGACTTGTATTAGCCAATACAGGTTCAGATCTCCAATACAAGGCCAGTTGCAAAGTTCTATGAGTCAATTTACCTCATAAACCAGCATGTGTCAACAACTGAACCATTTAGTGTGCTTAAATATGATCTGCATAATCAGCATGAAGAAAGTTAAAAACCAATTAAACAAAGACATTATATAATGAAAGCCTATACTATTTCTTTTCCATGATGGGGTCTTAATATTTTTGGGCATAAATGTCCAGATATAAATTGTCTCCTGATGCCAAATTTTTGTCCCATTGTCTATCCAATTGTTCTTTTCCATTGTCTGCCCCTTAAAATAAAGAGGAGTGTGTGATTTGCCATCTGTTCTACTTCCATTTCATTATATTTTATTGATGAATAGTAAATAAACCATGGTATTTTCTTCTGATTTTGCAGCCATTTTGTGGACTGTGCCTAGAGCAATTCAAATATTCATCACATTCAAGCCCTGTAAACATAAGATCAAATTCCAGAATCTGGTCAATATCACAGAATGGAAGAGCTGCTTTTTTATTAGGCCAACATAAGAGCAGTGTGTGTGTGTGTGTGTGTGTGTGTGTGTGTGTGTGTGTGTGTGTGATGAAAAATCAAAGAAATGATGTGTCTGTTACATCTATATGTTGTTGTTTTTTGTTGCTATTGTTTGCATTGTTTTGTATTATTAGAGTAGCTTTAGCCTATGGATAGATTTAAAATTACCCTTTTCAGAAATTATAGTTCTGATGTCCCTTAGGATGTTTGACTCACTTCAGCTTCCATTCCATTGTATTTTCATTGATTTTTAGTCACTAATTACAGATGTTTTCTTGTTGTTTGAATTTGAATGCCAGTAATGGAACTTGGCTGTAGAGCAACTCAAATATTGAAATGTATGGCAGTATGACACCATGTTCCTTCTCAGTAAACTGGAAAATGTTACTAACCACATGATCTGGTACTTTTTGAGGTTTTACTAGACCTTTCACTTGTCCATCCTGGTTTTGGACTGTCTTCTCTCTTCCTTGATCTTGATTGTTTATTTAAGTTAACTACCTTAAATATTTGTTATAGCCTTCGGTAAATTTTAATGATTTAAAAAAAAAAACTATTTCTATTTGTATATGCTCACTTAAAAGTCAGGTTGAAATGCAAGCAACATAGACCCTGATCTGCCATCACATAATGTACCTTAAATCAGGGTCTGTTTTGCCTGTTCTACTGATTCATCCTGACAAAGTGCATAGACCCAGATCTGTCAGTAAAATTGCAACGGAAGATCTGGGTCTATACAGTTTGCAATTTGATCAGTCCTGTACACAAGTATATATGTTATTATGTGATTCTATCACAATACATGTTACATTAAGGACATTATATGTATCAGGATACATATTACACTATAGATGGTTATTATATGTATCATTATGCATATTGCATTGAAGACAGTTATCATCTAATGTATCAAGGTACATATTGCACTGGAAACATTTATCAATATTTGTATCATACAACATGGCCAGCAATGCCCAGTTTCTTTTAAAATAGTTAACAATGAAGCTATGTAGATAAGAAAACTATTATGGAAGATTGGTTTTGGTCTTGGATTAACACATGTATTCATTTTACAACTATTACAGTATTCAGAAAAAAATAATTTCCATAATTATGTATTCAGTTTATGAATTGGTACAAAACAATTTGGTTTATATATGCTGTACAATAATAAATTATTAGCATGATATTTAAAGTGGCTTAACTGCATTCATTTTCAACAATTATTTCTCTTTAATTTTCTTTGATTTGAAATGTCAAAAAGTGTGGAAATTAGGTTATGCTCAATGCTGAAAATGCTGAAAATCACATTTAAAGATGGCCAAATTGCAATATGCATAGGGTTTTCTTAAATGTCTAAAAAGAGAGATTGACAACACCTACTATGATCATGTGACAAATCCTATTGGTAATTAAGGTGTAAACAGCATGAGAGTGGATGTTGATGATTTCACATTAATTTCTGTGAAAATAAAGGATTACATACTGCTGTCACTGATGGGACAAAGTAGTTTTGGTATATAGTATAATGCACTCTCCTTGAAGTACAGCAGTTTTCATATGCAGGTCTCCTTGTAGTACAGCAGTTTTCATATGCAGATCTCCTTGTAGTACAGCAGTTTTCATATGCAGATCTCCTTGTAGTACATCAGTTTTCATATGCAGGTCTCCTTGAAGTACAGCAGTTTTCATATGCAGGTCTCCTTGTAGTACAGCAGTTTTCATATGCAAATCTCCTTGTAGTACATCAGTTTTCATATGCAGATCTCCTTGTAGTACATCAGTTTTCATATGCAGGTCTCCTTGTAGTACAGCAGTTTTCATATGCAAATCTTGTAGTACAGCAGTTTTCATATGCAGATCTCCTTGTAGTACATCAGTTTTTATATGCAGGTCTCCTTGAAGTACATCAGTTTTCATATGCAGGTCTCCTTCTAGAACAGCAGTTTTCATATGCAGGTCTCCTTGTAGTACAGCAGTTTTCATATGCAGGTCTCCTTGAAGTACATCAGTTTTCATATGCAGGTCTCCTTCTAGAACAGCAGTTTTCATATGCAGGTCTCCTTCTAGAACAGCAGTTTTCATATGCAGGTCTCCTTGTAGTACAGCAGTTTGTATAGTTTCAGGACAGATGGATTCAATGCTGTAATTTAACCTATAATGATATCATGGGGGTCCTTTCAAAGTTTTACTGATCAAAAGTTTACAATATAACATCTCCATTGATTTATCTATATGGTACACATATACCCATCCCAGATTCAACCATATGGCAAATTTAATGTTAATAAATGAAGCTGTATTGGAGTTTTAGAATGTTTAAATAAGACAGATGGATTCAAAGAAATAGA